GGGGGGGGTATATTTTAAAATTTTAATCTATATAGTTGAACAGGGGGGTCATTTTTTCATTTCCAAAAAATATGGGGGGGTGCATATTTTATTGATAATGTTTTTAAAAAAACCACCGGCCCCCCCTGAGACGTAATAAACGATCGGTCCCTTAGTCGACTTCAAAATAATGTGTCAACATTGCGTGTTGCAGCCTGTGTACATGAATATTTTCGTTTGTTTGACAATAACACTTGTCTTCACTGTTTTTAATCCTTGAATGACAATATATTCATTGGTCTCAGAGACCTAAACTTCAGGAAGACGGATGACATTGGGACAGAATGATTTTGTTCAATGTTGCTGTTCAGGTATCAAAATTTATGGACATACTGTATATGAACTTCATTGTTCTTTTACTTCATCTGGCTCACTTGTCACAATTGGGCCCTGTTCATATTACCTGGCTAGGTGGGAGACGACATTTGTCAGTATGTTCTATCCTATCCTGCTACTATCGGCCTAGCTAAGCGTGAGGTTTCCATTGCCAGAATCCTGGCTATATGCATGTAAGCCAAGAAATTCGCCATAATCCATAAGCACTGTATACCAAACAGGGAACATGACTTAGGCTTCAAGCGTGTGTTCTGGATAGTCTAGATCATATAAACAGGTCCCCAATAGATGCAATCCAATATTAAGCCCCCAGTATCCTCATAAATAGGCCTCCCTTCCAAAAATCAGATCTCCCTTCCAAAAATAAGCTCTCCCTGTTAAGGGCTGTCAAAATGGGCCATGCTAGCCCAGCAAACATGGCTGGATTTTCTTTTCAGGGCTAGTTTGTCATTTGCCTCACAGGAGCCAGGCTAACCTGACAACTGTTGTCAAGAAATTTGTGTGAAATGCTGGTTAATTTGTTAATGACAACAGCATCAGAAGGCTTATATTAATCAATTTCCTACTTACTTGGGCCAAATTGTGTATTATAACATGATTTTTAGTCGAGTGAGCTGGTTGGTCAGCTTATGACCTTTATTAGTGTGAGACTCCCAATGCAGGATATCAACTTGCTCAAGCAAATGCTGGGCCAATAAATTCAACCAGGCTGTTTCATGTGAATGCAATCTCAAACATATATAAAATTAATATACGAGGCAGTATCTTACCATGAGCAGGTGTATATTTAGCCCATATAAATGGGCAAGACCAGCTTGCCCAGTGTGATATTATACTACTGACAATACCTGGTTGATTCTACAAGATTATGGCCTAAAATGTTCCAATTGTAGTTTCAGGATCTGCTAAGGGTCTGTTGATATGATCTGGGCTAGGCAGCATGGGACCCTAAAGGCAAGTTCAGGTTGCCTGGTTGTGGGATAGAATGTTTACTGTAAATGGTGAATTTCTTGGCTTGCATAGTTGGGATTCTGGCAACGGATACCTTGTGCTTAGCCAGGATAGTAGCAGGATAGTATATCGGCAATACTGGCAAATGTTGTCTCCCGCCTAGCCAGGTCATAAGAACAGGCCCCATTTGTGACTAGTGGGCCAGATTAAGGAAGAAACAATGAGGGTCCTATGACTATGCTCTGTGACTATATATGTCCATAAATTTTGATATCTGAACAAAATTTTGATATCTGTCCCAAAGTCATCCATCATCCCTAAGTTTAGGACTCTGAGACCAATGAATATATTGTCATTCAAGGATTAAAAACAGTGAAGAAAAGTGTTATGGTCAAACAAACGAAAATATTCATATCCACAGGCTGCAACACGCAATGTTGACACATTATTTTGAAGTGGACTAAGCTCGACTAAATGTCGAAATCGACGAAAAACGAGCCAAAAAACAGTTATTGAGCTAATCAATCAAATAAATACTTGACATAAGTTTGAAGGTCCATAGTCCAAATATTTGATGAGTTTCTTTATCCCATTTATACCAACAAAATTTTAAAAATTACCTGTATTTAGATATTCGCCATATTGATCGCCACGCTGTTTGGCAAGAAATCGACATGTCAACTTGTCCCGGCCCGGAAATTTCCTGTTTACTTGTTACACAGGATATTAATAAGTTAATGTGAAAATATGAAGATAAAAGTATCTTTTAAAAATTAAAACGTCTCAAACCTCGATTTGAAAGGCTTTTAAAAACGGTAATCCGTTCGGAACCTACAAATTCGAGGGGTGGTATTTAAGCTTGCGCAAGGCAAAGTTTGAAGACCCATATCTTCGCAATCACGCAATTAATCCAAAATCGCCACGAGGAAGTTGAGGAGAATTCTTTTAAAAACAACATATATGAATTTCATGGCAAAAAACAAAAAGCCGCTTGCAGAAAAGCTCTGAAGTAACCCCATATGTTTGTTTACAAATTTCATGTGATGAAGCGTTTTACGCATTCTGATTGGCTTAGAGCAAAAATGTAAACAAAAGCGCTGATTGGTCGAGAACGAAATTTCCCCTTGTTTACTGTGTGTGGCTCTTTGTATAAAACCTTCTCCTACTTATACAGATTCTTTATGTAAAGAAAACTAATGAAGTCGCATTTGAAGCTGTTTAATGAACTCGCAGTACGTGTTTTATTAGGTCTAAAACCTAATGTAGGTTTTTAAACCTAATAAGGGAAAGTACATTTATTATGCCGAGGAGGGGGGGGGATGAAGATGTTAAGAGTACGAAATATTTCTGGCATTAAAGGGGGCTCTGAAAGTTCTGATATACTGGGGGGGGGGCTCTAAACTTTTCAACGTTTTGGTCCAGCAGGGGCCTGGAGTGTTCACTCCCACCATAGTTAATAGAATAGATGGTTTGGAAACTCATTAGAATAACAATATAACTCATTACCTATGTTAGTGAACAATAACATTCATAGATCTGGTCTTTTACCGTCACATGAGACGTATTGTATTTTTGCCCGACTAACCAATAGCAATGTTTTAGGAAAGTTGCCTATCTTCGACTCAAACAATATGATAAATTGAAAATTGCGGTGAAAGAATATATTTATGAAGATACGTTGACTAACATAGATAATAAGTTATATTGCTATTCTAACGATTTCCAAACTGCATATACTATATTAACTGACACTGGGGGAGCTCCACATGGAATACGTAAAAGAAGGCTGCAACACACCTGTCAAAAATGCATGCAAAAGTTCCAATATGCTTGAACTACTGAAATTTTTATTCTGTTTCTACCAAGTTTTCCATGAATATAGAACATATCGTTCTTACAAATCGTTTTTTGTTTTGTTTTTGGAATTGCTACTTTTTGGCGGGTAAATTATGTCACAGACGTGGCGCCAAAAAATTAAAATAAGCTATTGGTGATTTTACTGAATCCATTTGTAGAGCGGACCAAGGGTACTTTAATTAATTAAACTGAAATCTGTTTCTAAATACAACAATTTTATGGCAAGATATAGCGACACAAGTGTCCAAAAAATCGGCCATATTGTTACTAAAGACAGAACAAAATGGCGGATTTTTAGAAATTTAAGTCATTATATCTTCGCAAGGAATGGTTGTCAGGGACCCTCCTCCCACAACCCGCAGTTGCTACGTGTAAAGTTCCCCCTACTGTGAAATTCAGGCAAAAATCATGTAAAATTCAAGTTAAAATTTTGACATTTTGAGGTAAAATAACCATTTTTGTAAAATACAGTCCATTTACATGCAATTTACAAAGCAAACCTTTAGAAAACGCCGGAAATTCAGTCCTAGAGCTTCAAAAATGAAAAAATTTTCTGGGGGAGGACCCCCTTTTCTCCCAAAACTTAGTATGAGAGTGCCAAACAAACACAAAAAGCTTTGTTATAATTATTACACGTATAATCCTCCGACATCCCCCCTCCAAATGTCAGATGCTTTGCTACGTCCCTGATGGTTGTATTGGAAACCGATTTCAGTTTAAGATATCCTTAGTCTGCTCTTCCAAAAACAAGAGAATGATATGTTCCTAAGAATGATATGTTCTGTGTTCATGAGATATTTAGTACAAACGGGATAAAAAGTAAAGAAATTGAAGCACTGGCGATTTTGCAACAGATGCCAGGTGATACGTTGGCAATTTCATTCAATTCCGAATTCTGGGGGGGGGCATTGAAAATTTTAAAAACTTGAAGGGGTGGCTTCGAAAAGTTTTCAATAACCTCAACAGGGGCCCTGAAAAAAAATGTGTGTTTTTCAAGACATCCTCATCCCCCCCCCCTCCTCGGCGTAAGAAATGTACTTTCCCCATAAAAACACTCCTGTTCGTTTTTAAGAACCAATTTTTTTCAATGTCGCGTATTTGCGATGAAAAGTGTTCAAAACCTAAAATCTTTTTAGCGTTCCTCTCAAAATGACTTTGTAGTACCTTTATTTTGCAGTTTACACAGTTATAGAAACCTTATAAAATGTATCTGACGGTTGAGAAACACAAAATAATAGTTAAATATTGTCAATTTGAATACAATTATTATTGCGGATGTTGTAAATTTGACGCCATATTTATACAGCAATTTAAGCAATACTTACCGAGCTTCAAATATCATTTTCTCGTTGGCGTACCATCTAAAATCTCTTAATTTTAGCATTACTTTGCAGATAAAGAACTAAACATACATTTTTCAAGTCTGTTTGCCGCTTGAGAAACGTACCGAAAAATAAGTTTAATTTCGTTAGTTTTGAGCGCGTGTTACGTAGACCGCGAGTGGTCCCTCGAAGAAATGAGGGACCGCAGACAATACAGCAAGAACGAGATACGCCCACTTTTCGCTCTTGTCAAATTGGCTCTGCCTTTGCATAAACATTACTATATCCAATTAAATCTATCCAATAGGAAACCGTTAATGTCATGTTTATTTTCAGGGTGTATAAAAAAAGGTAATCGAACTTCAGCCATAGATTAATTCTTTATTCTGTGCTTCAGCGCGCTATTGTACCTGAATTACTCGGCGTATGAACATTGTTTTTCATATTCGAAAAGGTGAGGCTTTTAGCTGTTGAATGACATCTTTTCATGCCAAATGGAGAAAAAATAAGCAAGTACGAGTCCGATAAAAAATGTTAGTCGGAGTCGCATATTACAACGGTGAAAATGTGCGATCTGACTAGCATTTTTTATCAGACTCGTACTTGCTTATTTTTTATCCATTTGGCATGAAGAGCATACTGTATCATTCAACAGCTAAAAGCCTGATCTTTCCGAAGATGAAAAAATCTCGTTCATACGCAGTAATTCAGACACAATAGCGCGCTGACGTTCGATTACTTTATTTTGACACACCCTGTATAAATCAACGTTCACTCTGGAAATTATTTATAGCATAATTACTACATAACAGATTTGATTGACAGGCGTATCAATTTTGACCAATGGGAATTTTGCGTTGTGTGGGCAACGCGGTTTCACTTCTTGACTGTGTTGTCTGCAGTCCCTCCTTTCTCGTGCCCAGAAATCTAAACCCACGGAAAGGAGGGACCGCTCGCAGTCTACGTGTTACGTAACATACAAAAATATCTCCTCATTAAGCCGGTTTTCCACTGGCGGAATTTTGCGCACGGAGCGGAATTTTTCTTTGTCTTTTGATTTCTCGGGTGGAACTAATTACAATTGACAACTGAAGAAAAATTCCGCTCCGCGCGCAGAATTCCGCCTAGTCGAAAACAGGCTTAAGCCTGTTTTCCACTAGGCGGAATTTCGCACGCGGAGCGGAACTTTTCATTGTCTTTTCTAATTAGTTCCACCCGAGAAATCACAAGACAAAGAAAAATTCCGCTCCGCGCGCAAAATTCCGCCTAGTGGAAAACAGGCTTTAAACAATATACATAATGAATGAATTCACAATAGTCCAACCGGTCCATTAATTTCAATAAATTTTATGCTTTCTCTTGTAAATAGTAATATTCATATATAGCAAGATCAGCGGTTTTAATTATACAGGGTGATCAAAAAAAGGTAATCGAACATCAGCGCGTTATTTTGTATCTGAATGACTTCGGAAAGATCAGGCTTTTAGCTGTTGAATGATATGTTCCTCATGCCAAATGGATGAAAAATACTGAGCAAGTACGAGTCCGAAAAACAATGATAAACAATTCACCGTTGACTAGGTTTAGGTTTAAAACCATTGAAAATTAACACCCTACATAACGGTACTTAAGTTGATGAATATCACTAATTTATTAAAACTACGCACACAATCATAATTATTATAAAGTAGGAACAAATCTTAGCTAAGCTGCGACAAAAGTTCGAGATTAATTGCTTTTTATTTTGTTATGCGCTGCTTTAATTAAGCACAGAGGGGAAAAATTAATATGCGATTCTGACTAACACTTTCCACTTGGCATGGAAAACATGTCATTCAATATAGCTAAAAGCCTGATCTTTCCGAATATGAAAAAAATTTTGTTCATACGTCGAGTAATTCACGTACAATAGCGCGCTGACTAGTTCGATTACCTTTTCTTGATACATCATGTACTCCTGAGTGCATCAGTTTCCATGCACATAACCACTGATTGGAACTTGCAGGAAATAATTATTTTCAGGTCTTCAAAATGAGATTTGGGCAAAAGTTGGGCAAAACTGGTGGCTCGCAATGAATTTAGGCCAAAATTGTGTTGGGAACTGAGTTTGAGACCCCTTCCTCTATTTTCGCATAAAATCTACAAGAAATGGCTTTAGACATCATTGTTTCAATGTTTCACTGTACCGAAGTTATAAATAATGTCTATACATTGATTTTATCCTTACAAATTTTCAAACTGAACTGATCTTCTACTGTATATACTTACATTCTCGATGATCTATAATATGAGACTTTCACGATATAAAATATACGTCTCAAGCAGCAGAATCAATACTGTTGTGCCCACTGTATGAGGTATATTGATTTCTTTGTATATAGCGATGCCTGCAGGCAATTTGTTATATGACTGCGTTCTGCGAGTAGACTTAATTTAATTACGTGCTTTTGCGGAAACTCGCTTTGCAATGTATACACAAAGTCGTCGGAAGTAAATCAATATTGGGGGGACTCAATGGCTATTTTTAAAGCAGGGAGTGGGGAATCCAGGAAACGGGGAATCCGGGAATCGGGGAATCCGGGAAGCGAAACAATTTTCTCACACATCAAAATAAAAAGTTTTGTCCAAATAGTTGACCTGCATCTAAGGATGAAAGCGGACTTATATTCATTTATGCAATGTTCTTTCGGCAAAATCCAAGATCTGATTGGTTATGTCGACCTATGAAGCAACTTATGTATGCAGATTATTTGTTATGACATGGACAAAAAGTGAAATTATTGCTTGCCTCTGCAAATCCATTCCCAGAAAGCGAGTATATATAGCCTATAGATGGAGTATAACTATATTTAGTATAATTACATAGGTGATTATTGAAAATTCTCCACGCTGATTGGTTGCCGTTGAGGTGATTATTATGCGATAATCACCTAAGCGATTTTCAAAATGGCGGCCGAAGCCTTTTTGTCAATTAAATGACGAAGAAATTGCGTATTTTCTTATTTTTTCCAAATAATCATCTAATAATCATCTATGAAATTATACTAAAACAATTATTCACCTCAGGCTCGGTGATTATCGTGAATAAAAACCTCGACTTCGTCTCGGTTTTTATTCACCGATAATCACCTCGCCTTCGGCGAATACTAGTTAAATATCGTAAATATATGATAACTTGTGAAACAGTAGTGTTTTGCCCGCGGAATGTGTTTGCCACGCATTTTCGATACGGCTTGGGCCTTGGCTGTTTCATTGATGCATCCAAATACACAATCTGTTATTATAGGTTTATTTCACTAAGTGTTATATATGCATGGAAAACACAACTTTACATGCATGTACTGAAGAGTTATATATACATTGGCATTTGTAGCCTGTCATAGTCGTATTAGCGACTATACATAACGGTAAATAACGGTAACAAACATTCTGTATTTCATATTGAGAAAACTTGAATACGGCTGAACTCTTCAGCGTTTGCCCAAGTCAATTGCAGTAAAATACTCCTTGTATTCAGGCGTTTTTATGTGGAAAGTTTCGTTTGAGTACGACAAGTAGAAATATTTATTTTGAATTTTTCAAAATATCGGGTTTTTACTCACGCGCTAAAATTGGCCAATAAGGAACACCCGGCACGTGCAAATCACGTTACAGGTTTAATATTGTTTCGGACATTTGACCTTGCATTTCCGGTTGAAGCTCTCACGTAAAATTTAGATATTTTAAAATATACCGAAACAAAAGATGCAAATCTGCAAATACATGCTTGAAATAACAATCGAAATAGTGTCTTGGATTTTGATTCGAGCAAACCTAATACGAAAAAGATACGTTAAAAGGGGCCGAAGTTATATTCGGCGACAGGCATGGCTTAGTGATATGTTGTTTACATTGACATTGTTCGAGTATATTGTATATTATAGGTATGGTATGGTATGGCATAGTTAATAGAATAGATGGTTTGGAAACTCATTATTAGAATAACAATATAACTCATTATCTATGTTAGTCAACGTTTACTCATAAAATGTTCCTTCACAGTCACATGTGTATTGTATTTTTGCCAAATCCACCAATAGCAATTTCCAATTTACCCTATTGTTCGAGTCACGACTAAAACATGGCTATTGGTAAATGTCTAGACAGTCAGACACATCGGACGCGATTCGACAACGCGACGCATTTTTTTAGTTTTTGAAAAGTTAATAAAACAGCCAATGAGAGCAAATTTTGAAAGATATGTATACCAAATATTCAAAATGTTATACCGCTTCTAACTATTTGAAAAATTTAAACTAGAATCAAAATTATCGATCAGTGAAAATCGAAAAATCGCGTCGCGTTGTCGAATCGCGTCCGGTGTGTCTGGATCTTTAGTTGGACAAAAATACAATAATAAATGACGGTGAAGGAGCAGATTTATGATGAAACGTTGACTAACATAGATAATGAGTTATATATATTGTTATTTTATAATGAATTTCAATCCATCTATTCTATTAACTATGGGTATGGCTAGTTTACATTGTTCGTGTATCGCTAGTTTATATTTTATGGCTACTTTACATTGTTCGTGTATATGGTATCTTTCAAGCGGAATTTTTTGGTGGTA